AACATCACTTAACGAATTCACTCGCAAGAGAAAATCTTTTGTACGTAATGGCTATTAAAACTTAAAAGTGACACATTACTAAAAGTAATGTGCATTCCAATTCATGTGAGTCCAAATAAAAGAAAAATAGCTTATTTTATTATAATTATTATTTTGATTACCTGTTATATCATGTGAATTATATAACTGTTATATTGTCATGATGTCATTTAGTCCTTGCTGTTACAAAAAGATTCTAAAAATTAATTATAAAATATAAAATTTGTTATGCAATTTTGTCCTGAAAACAAAAGTAGAAATAGACCTACCTCAAATCATAATATTATAATGAAATAAACCAAAAATGGAGTTCTTTGTTATGTTAACTAAAACCAAAATTTTCTTACCTAGATCAATCAAACATCAATTTTTTTTTCGATATTTCAAAATCTGAATTCATACTTCATCCAAGAAAAATCTAATGTACCGACAAGAAAAACAAAAACAATGAAGTAACAAAATTTAACTTATTAGTATTGTTGTTGTTAGCTTTTGCATCCATACATATTTTGTTGCTCTAATTGTTTGAATTAACATTTTTTTAATATTTATGATTTATATATAAACATTTTATTAGGAGTGTACTTGGATGAAAAAGTATTACTACGTAATAATAATAATATTTTTTATTATTATACATTATTTTATAATTTAAAATATTTTAAATTATAAAATAAAAATTATTTTAACCAAAATAAACCCAATATTCAAGGGACAAACATTTTTTTATTCAAAAATTAATATTTTATAATTTAAAATAATTTAAATTATAAATTTCCTTTTCCTTGTTATTGTTATTACTATTCGTCATCAATGACTATTAAAAATAATGAGTATTAAAGATACTAAAAATAAGAGATAAAAGAGTGCCTACCTGTCCAAGTTTGGCACCGGGAAACTTGGCTCGAACAGCGTCTTCAAGTTCCTTCCCCAACGGGGCAGCGCCGGATTTCATCATTCGCACCGACGACAAGTCGTATTTGTCGGTATCCGTTGACTTGGCGATCGCCAGGACAATCGGCGGTACCATCGGTGCGATCGTCACTTTATGTTTCTGTATCAGCCCTAACAATTTCCCGATCTCGAACTTCTGCATAATCAGAATAGCCGCCCCGACCCGAAACCCGCAGAGCATAATCGAATTGAGCGCGTAGATGTGGAACAGCGGCAGAACACAGAGGATCACATCCTTGTTGTGGAAATACAAATTGGGATTCTCGCCGTCGACCTGCTGCGCCACACTAGTGACCAGACCCTTGTGCGTCAGCATCACCCCTTTGGGCAAGCCCGTGGTTCCCGACGAGTATGGAAGAGCCACAACATCGTCGACATTGATTTCCACATCAGGCAAATCGTTCTCATCGGAATTACTCAGTTCGGAGAAATGCAAACAGCCGTCGGGAGCAGAGTCAATACAAACCAGCTTAACGTTATTTTCCTCCGCAAAGTCCTTGACTTTGTCAACGTAACACCCCTGCGTGATTATAATTTTTGCTTTCGACGCTTTTGCCTGCTTTGAAATCTCCGCCGGAGTGAAGAACGGGTTCGCTCCTGTGGCAATGGCGCCCCGGAAAGAGGCTCCGAGGAAGGCCAATACGAATTCAGGGCAGTTGTGCAACAAGAGCATGATCACTTCCCCTTGGTTAACGCGGACCTTGTTTATACCGGAGGCAATCCGGCGGGCGGTGAGCTCGACATCCGCATAAGTATACACTTCCCCTGTTCCACCATTAATCAGACATGGCCGGGAGGACACCTGGGGTAAGTTCTCAAAGCAATAAGAATGTAAAGGGAGGTGTTTTGGAATGTATATGTCGGGAAGCTTCGACCGAAAAATGGTTTCTTCTACTTGTTGGAGAGCTTCGGGCGCCATTAGAGGGCAGAACAGAGTGAAAATTTGCAGGGGAAAATGCTGAAATGTTAGGCTCTCTGCGTTTGGGATGGGCCTGAGATAACATTAGGCAGAAATGAGATTGATATAGAAAGTTGGTTAAGGCGGAACGGAGGGTTGGTGAAGGAGAAAATGGGAAATTGAGGATTGGTAGAGGGTAAAAATGGGAAAGAGGGTAAATTAAAAAAACTGGGTGTGTTTGGTGATTTGAGAAGGAAGGGGAGAGGAGGAGGTGGAAGAGAGGCAAAAGCTTACTTTTTTTTTAACCCCTCACTTTATTAAATTTGAAAATTTTAGTCCCTCATCTTATATTATGATATTTTTAACCTCTTATTTTACTAGACTTGTAGGTTTTAATCCTTCATCTTATACTATAACATTTTTAATCCCTTATTTATTAAAATTGAAGAAAATAGCACTCACTTTGTAATATTTTATTAGTTCTGTTAACTTACTATTAACTCTATTATTTGACTGTTAATTGACTGTTAGTTAACGAAAATCTTCTTTCAGCTAACAAAGTTAACAGAATTAACTTTATAATCTTTCATTAATTCTGTAATTGAGTATTAGTTGACTGTTAGTTAATAAAAGCCTAATTTTAATTAATAAAATTAATAGTCAATATATAATGAGAACTATTTTCTTCAATTTTAATAGATAAGGGACTAAAATCTATAAATCTAATAACGTAAGAGGTTACAAGTGTCATAATATAAGGTGAGGGGCTAAATCCTTCAAATTTGATAAGTTGAAGAGCGAAAATCAGGTTTTTGCCGGGAAGAGATGGGGGTTGGTGGAGGTTGTAGTTCTTGGTGGGGGATGGGACCCATGTTTAGTTGTGGAAGATTAGCAAGTTTTGACTCCTGGATGATGATGATATTGGCGGTGGTGAAGGGTGGGCTTTTTGTGTTTGAGCATATGGCATGCTTTCTCCATCTCACCTACCACCAAATGTTGGAGAATTTTGTAATTTCAAGACCACTGCTGCGTTGCCCTTCACCTACCCCATTGGAGGCTGGATGTTGTTAAGTAAGACCCAGCCCCAGGCCCAACTAATTTGATTTCTGGTCTTTCAAGTTTGTTTATTGAAGTTTCCTATAATTAATGAGGGAAGCATTAATTTGTCAAACCGGAATGTGTGGTGTAATCGTTCATGTATCAAGACTTCAAAGTCATCACATATTGTAACAGTTATAATCTATCATTAGATGTATTAATGTTAGACTTGACAACTTTTCGAAGTGTTAGTCCAAAATCAATCAATAGGGATCCCTTGTCTAATTGTAAAAATTATCCTAAAGTTTTTTTATTATATGTCTTTAAAAGTATATGTTAAGATTACTTTTTTTTTGGTCAAAATATGTATTGAAAAATATAAAAATTGACATGAATTTTAGTATTATTGTTAAATTCATAAATCTAATTAAATAATCAATAAATTAAAAATCAAT